GACGCCCGCCCCGGGCAAACAGGCGGATGGTGGCACGGGCGGCAGCGGCAGCAACCTGCAGCCCGCCTCCTCAGGGGGAAAGGGCGGTAGCAAACAAGGAGGGAAATCCGCCGGCGGAGGTTCAAACGCCAACCAACAGCAACAACAACAACAACAGCAGCATGGAAACAAGAAGCGAAAGGGTGGACGTCGATAGACGATGGTCACTGTTCTTTTTTTCCATGAAAAATGTTAATGGTGTGTGCGTGTGTGCTGGTATTTTGGTTGGGTGGGTTTGCCTTCTTCTTTTTTCTTCCCTCTTATCCAAAATGTTCTCACTGCCTTGCGGCTTTATAATGAAATATACGCCCTTCTGCCTTTATTTTCCTTTTTTTCGTTTCTTAAAAGCAAAAGTAATGGTGTGTGTGTCTGTGTATGTTTGTATTTATATGTGAGGTGGATTTCATCCCTTTTTTTTTTTTTGTTTAGTTTTGCTTATTTATTTCCTTTGCATCCCCCCCCCTTTTTTTTTTTCTTCTTTTTTTGTCCTCTTTTCGTTTAGTTTTTCTCCTTTCTTTGGTTGTTGTTGTTTCAGTCGCCTTGAGGGAAAAAAAGAAGATAAATAATAAATAATAAATAATAAATAATAAAAAACAAACAAATTGCTGTTTGTGTGGGGGTGAGCCGATTGAGGAAGGAGGGGAAAGGGGGAGGGGGTGACGGATGCGTTCACTTCGGCGGTTTTTGGTGGGCGCAGGGCTGCTACCGAGGCGCAGTACACTCTTTTGGTTTCTTCTCACCTTTGTGGCGATGGCGCTTGTGATGAGTGCCACGATGTTCTGCAGTATCATTGTGGAGAAGGAACCCACACACGAACTCACGCAAGAACCCGCCCCGGAAGATGTGAAGGAACCCGCACATTCAAGGAGCCACGACGTGCGGCGAGAAGCGGCAAGTACGCAAAAAACCCGAGAGTCACTGTTGCTGCACGCGGGGCACCTTCTCTCCATTCTGGAGCAATTTTCAGAGGAAAGCGTGACACATCCAACGGCTGCCGGGCCCGGGGTGGAACCGGGTGTGCGGCCCGTGGGCAAAGCAGACATGACCCCCGAGTTTCTCTTATCACGTTACTATGAAACCGAGTTGGTACGGTTGAACAACGATTATGAAAAGGAAATTGACAGCGGTTACACGGAGAATGTTGTCCATTCTGAAAATTACTGGAGTCCTTTTCACGCCACACGTCGAGGCTATGGACTGGAGGGAAGCATCTTTGTTGGAATTACACACAGCCAAGAGAAAGTGACATCGTCGGAGATGGAAACGGCATGTGCAGCGACAGTGCGGAACATCTATGACGCAGCGCACTGGCCACTTGGTGTGTTTACGGGTATTGTGGAGATCACTCTTAGTAAAACTTCTCCCACGACACATGACCCCACCAAATCCACAGAAACGCCCATGGATTCGGCAGTGCCACCAGCGGAAGAAACTCCTGCATGGATACCGCCACCGCCTTCTGTATGTACCCCTCGTGCGTACCTTTTGCCTAGCTGCGCAGAACGTACTGCGTTTTGCCCCACAGACAACATTCGCGTTCGTCAGGTGCGAGTTGGGCCGCAGTCAGCAAATGGAGGCGATGATGCAGGAATTTCAGGGCGTCGCAAGTCTCATACTTTATTATCATCCGCTGCAGCGCAGCGATACGCAACGTTGGCTCTTTACCGTGGGGAAACATATGTCATGTTTGTTCGTGCTGGTTTACAGCTTGTTTACAAGTGGGATGTGCTGACACGTCTACTGTGGTTACAATTGCCCTCACGTTCCGCGGTGCTGTCACAACCCCCCGTTCAAATCAACCGTCAGTCCGTTCGTTCGGTGTGGAACCGCGTGGTTGTGAAACATGTGGAGGGAATTGTGGTGGCATCCGAGAAACAATTTTCTACCCCGGCGAACAACGGGTCGCTTCCGCTCCAACCAGGCGAGGGGCAAAATGGGAATGGCGTGGAGCATTGGATTGACTCCATTCGATGGGCACTTGATTTGGGGGCCGTACGGCTTCATTCGGCAGCAGCAGCGGCGGCGGAGGAAGAGGGGAGGTCGGGAGGAGGGAGGAAGATGCATGAAAATAACGAAGGGGATCCGGGCATGATGGAGGAGGAGATTGTGCAGTATGTTTTCCATCATGATGCGGAGGTTTTTCGTGAGGCAAAAAAAAATCTTTTCAGGACTGATGTGAACACGCCGGAAGGGGGAAAAGAAGAAGAAAAATCCTCTTCGGGCTCACGGAGCCGCAGGGATATTCAAATTTATTGGTTAAGACAGTTTTATGTTTCCCTGCGTGAGGCGCTACTCAAAGACGTGGTGGAGCAGGAGACGACCTCGTGTCTCTCTGGGGTTCAAATGAAGAGGATGCAATCTGGGGGTCATCTTGACCCCATCTTTAGACTTCACGCAGCCAGTTCAAAAAGAATTAGTCATGCCATGCAGGACCCACGCTACATGCGACCTTCACCCTTTCATGGATGTGGTGGAAGCGCGAAGAACGCATGCCCAAAGATGTCAGACTACAAGGAGGTCTGCAATGACGACGCCATCCTTCCATATTTACAACAGTCTTGGGTGACGCCGGACTTTTTGTTTACTCGTGCAGAAGCTTTTTTTGACTTTCCACGTGATGGTATTGATGGATATAGGGATCGATTAAATGCTGATAGTGTGCCGCTGGATCCTTTTTTGAGTTTTCTGGGAGCCGATGAGGAGGCGGTTTTGCTGAGCGCACGGTTATGGACACACGGGTGGGATTTTTTTTCCTCCACGGAGCCAATTGCTTTTATTGTGACAAAACCACCCGCCGAGGGTGACGCATCGGGGACAGACACATCCACGTTATCTCCCACCTTGACGCGAATGCGCCAAAGGAGTGTGGCACGACTTCGACATGTACTTTTTGGTAAAAATCGTACTGCAGGGTTGGCGCCGGATGCAAAGACCGAGGCCTTGCGTCATGTGGAGCGTTATGGTCTTGGCAGGCGACGGTCGAGGGAGGAGCTGTTTTATTTTTCTGGCCTGCGAGAAGCAATGAAGGACGAGGGAGTGATAGGATACAAAGTAGATGCCCAAAACAACGTGGACCCCACCTGCCCTGCATCCTTTTGCCACAGCTAGAAATGATGAACTCAGCCATTTAAAAGATAAACGGGAAGAGCGTTGCTACGCGTGGTTGTGTGTGCTTGTATGTTTGTGGGCACATTCCGATATATGTAATATAAATAAAAAAATAAATAAATTATTTGTACGATGCAAATGACGAGAGCTGATAAGGATTTTTGCGGGCATGGCGGCCGCGTACCTTCACGTAAAGCAGGTGCTTATAATAATATTATTTGCATTTTTTTTTCCTCCCCTCTTTCTTTTTTTTTCTTCGGTGGTGGACGTATATATATATATATCTATTGTGTGCGATTGTTTTTGAGTGCTGCCAGGTGGAGGGTGTGCTGAGAGACTGCCCGGCGGTGCGAAGGGAAGTCCTGTGCGTGCTTCTCTGTGAGGGGCGGGGAGTGTAGTGGGGGCACGTGAGTGGATGGACGGTCTTCGCACACACACACACATGGAGAGAGAGAGAGCGAAGCCTTGTTTCAGTGCGCATTGCTCCCTTTTCGCTTCACGCCCATG